GTTTCTAATAGATGCTGATTAGGTTAAGAAATTTGCACCTGAAACAGGTTTAAAGTTTTATTTGATCCACTTCTATCTGTCAGTTTCCAGAAGAAATCAGTCAAGCCACAGGAATGAATGACAATTTTCAAAGTTGACATCTTTGTTTATTATCTTTTCTGAAGGAATCAATTTATTTGAGCAATCTGCATTCAATATGAATAAGCTGACTTTCAATTATGAGAATTACTGGCACTTTCTTACACTTTTAAAATTCCAGTTTTGCATTTGAATGCTCATGATTTTTAACACAGGATATCCTGCATTCTGCTTGCAGGTACCCATAAGTGTGCAAAGCCTGTACTATTTAATTGAGCAGTAATATTAAACCAAAAAACAAATAATAAATGAATTTGAGGTCAAAGTACATTAATGGAGTGATCACTTCAACTCCTGATTTGACAAACTTTAATAAGCCATCATAACACTGTTAATAGAGAAAGCTGCTAGAACAGAGATGCAGCAACCTTGCTTAAATAATATGAAAACAGAAAATTATGTTCTCCAGAAATAAGAGTGCAATTTTGGCCACTCCACTCAGATGATCACTCTGAAGCATTTGCAAAGAGCACTGGCTTGTGACACAAGAATACTTCAGTAATATTTTGGAATTGAATTTGCTACATTTTGCCTTAAAATAGTTTACTCTAATGATGACATCATAAATTTCTGCACACTTGCAGATTCCTAAATATTATTTTATCTACTGGTTAGTAATATTTGAGAATTCATGAGATTATTTTATTAAAATCATCATCATCCAGAAATGTTTTAAAATTTGTGTTTGGCTGGTAACAAAGTATCCTTTGTACAGATTTTATTAGACATGAAATGGGTCTTAACATCTATAACAGCACTACCAAGGAGAATTTTATAAAGGACCTATAACTAAACCATTATTGGAAATATAAATATAAATAATTGTGAACGTAAATATTTTTGCATAAATAAAGGGAGTGAGTGAGGTTTCAAGGTGTAGATTCAGTTATGATTTTATATTCTAAAGATTGGCAACCCACATCCTATGGGTCGAAGAAAATTTTAACGGCCCTTTGCTTTCTTCTTCCTTCCTGGGAAGGGATGTCACTTGCCTGTTGCCTGCTGCCTCTGTAAGATGTTCTGGTTCTCTGGTCCACTCTGGAAAGTGGCAGCCTGAGGCCAACTCATAAGTGCCTTGTCCTTCCCTTCCCTGTTCTGCCCACACAAAAGGAGAGAGACTGAACCTTACAAATACTAATCGCAGAAATAGAACTGGATGCTCTTTGGGTTTTATTGTTGTTATTTAATTTGTTTTTCAGTTACAGTTGAGATACAATATTATTTTAGTTTCAGGTGTATAATGTAAGATTACACATTTAGATAACCTTATGAAGTGATCACCCTTCACCTTTATATTATATAAAAAATTACTTCTTTATATCTCCATCCATGGCACCTTTGGTTGTCATGTCACAGAATCACATCTTTATGCATCCCGTGTTCAAAAACATAAATTAACAGATTTTTAAAATGCACTGGTCTCTTAAATTATATAGAAAAAATTTAGAGTTAAAAGCTAACATTATAATAATGTTAGCCTCTAGAGTAATAATTTTTTTACAAAATGCATTAGACATAAATAATGCTGAAAAAAAGTGGAATTACAAACAGTAGTTTTAGTAATAGTCACTTTTATAATTTTCCCATGGATTTTCCTTTATTGAGTTTTTTTTTTTAATATGGCTTTCAGTTATGTCTAGGGTTCTTTTATTTTGCCCTGAAGGAATCTCTTGAGCGTATCTTGGAAAGCAGATCTTGTGGTAACCCTCTCCCTCAGCTTTCTTTATCTGGGAATATCTTAATTTCTCCCTCACTTACAAAGGACAGTTTGCCAGATATGAAATCCTTCATTGGCAGGTTGGTCTTTTATTTTTGTGTTTGTTTTGGTTTGTTTTTAACATTTTGTATATATTAGCCCATTGCCTTCTGTCCTCCAAAATTTCTTTTGAGAAGTCTGCTAATAATTACATTGAGAATCACCTACATGTGAAATGTCACAGCTCTCTTACTGCTTTCAAGACTATCTCTTTGTCATTGAAAGTTTGATTATAATTTGTCTTAGTGTATGTCTCCTTGATTTCATCCTACCCTACTTGAAATTCCTTGAGATAGTATTTGGTATTTATATAAATGTCTTTCATCAAATTTAGAAAGCTTTCAATAATTATTTCTTCAAATATTCTTTTCTCTTTTCCTTCTGGGACTCCCATAAGGCATTTGCTAGTTCATCTGATAGTCTCCCACAGTTCCGTAGACTGCGTTCACTTTTCTTTGATCTTTTTCTTTCTGTTGCTCAGACTTGATAATTTTGGTTCTCCTATCTTATGTTTGTTGATTCTTTCTTCTGTCTTCTCAAATCTGTATTTGAATTCCTTTGGTTTTATTTTCTTTTTTTTAATTATTATACTTTTTAGCTCCATAATTTCTTTTTTTTTAATGTCTCTCTCTTCATTTATATTTCCATGTTGTACCACATTTTTTTGAGTTTCTGTCCATCTTCCTTTACATCTTTAAGCATCTTTAAGATAGTTATTTTAAAATCTTTGTGTAATATATCCAATATCAAGTCCTTTTCATGAACAGTTTCTGTTGATGTTTTTCTTTGAATGTACCATACCTTTCTGTGAATTTTGGTTCAAAACTGGACATTTGAACATAATAATGTAGTAAATATGGAAATCAAATTCTCCTACCCTAGAGTTTGCTGGGTTTGATTATTGTTTTAGGTTGTTCTTGTTTGTTTTTTTGTTGTTTTTTATGCTGCAAACTATCTGTGTTTTGAGTTTCAGCTTGAAGTATAAACTTAGTGTCTTCTCAAGTCTTTTCTAAGACTTTTTCTGGGCATGCACTTTCCAGGGTTACCCATATACACAGTTGTTTTTTAGTGTTTTTACTGCTAAATAGCTGGCTCCCAAAAAGGGAAAAATGAGAAAAGTAAAGGGGGAGCAAAATGGAGCATGCAGGCTCTTTAATTCCCAAGGAAGTCAGGTTGGCCAGAGCGGGGGAGGCTTGCAGTCACGGGGAGGTGCAACAACTGTGTCTGCCCGTCTTTCTGTCTGCACCTCTTTGATCAGAAGCACCCATCAGTGGTCAGAACAGGTGCACAGCTGCCTGTCACATGGCTGAGGGGTGAAGGATAGATAGCTACTACTGTGCTAAGAGCTGAAATTGACTGAAATTAACCAAAATTTACAGTCCAAGCCTTCCCCTGGAGGTTGCAAGCCTTCTATAGAGCCCAGAGTTCCAAAATACTTATCTTCGACTGGCAATTTTCAACCTTTTCCATCTCATGGCAAATATAAATGAAATTACTAAAATTCTGTGGTGCACCAAAAAGTATATTTTTTGCCAATCTGACAAAAAAAATAGATATAATTCAGATTTATTCACACCAGACAGATATTGTTGTATAGGCTATTGTCAATGTTTTATTTCAGTCTAAGGGTAAAGAGATGAGTGATCCTGACTAAATAGTCAGATACTGCATGTTTTAAAAATCTTGTGACACATCAGTTGAAAATTGCTGTCTTAGGCAGATTCTGCCAGTGCTGTTTTTATCTAGGTTGGGAGATAGCTCCCTGATACTTTACTGTCATCTCCCCAGAATTCTCCCTGTAAATGAATTTTTTATAATGAATTACTCTTTAAATTTTATGTTATTTCATTAATGAATTTCTGTTAGGTGATGAAAAGCTTTAGGATTTTGAGCTTTTTTTGATTTGGAGAAAGATTACTGAATACCCACTAAGGATCTCAAGCAGAATAAACAAACAACAGCAACACTATTTAAAGGAAGTGTAGAAAAATTTGGAAGATCATGTTATTTTGCTTCACCTAGATTCTGTGATTTAGTATTGACCACATATTCTGATAGGCAGTCATTGTTTTTTTATTAAAAAAATTTAAAATAAAATAAAAATATTGGGGCTTATTAAATGAGGCTCAATAGACCAAAAAAATGTTTAAAACATAGAAGCAAAAGGTGAAAATAACAAAGACATAAATTTGTAATAAAAGAATTAGAAATCACTGTTCTAAAACTTCTGAGTCTTAATGAATTTACTAATTAAAAGATACCAATAATATTTTCCAATAGGATACAATTACCTGCTGCACATAATTTAAGATCTCCTCTAAATGTCTGAGTAGTTATCAAAGATTATAGAATTTTAGAATAAGATAAGACTTTAAAGATTGCTTTTATTTGATTGATTGACTTTAAATTGGAAAGATATTACTTCAGAAATTTGGAAATACTTCTCTGAGTATTACAGTGGAAAGCATGTCAGTAAAAGTAAGAGAAAATCGTATTGGTTTGTTGCATAGTGGGATATTTTTATATGCTGTGTGTTTCCTTTAGACAGTGATAAAACTACTGGAGGCTCATTTAGCTTCCATCTGTTATACTTTTAAAGAAAATTGCAGTTTAAAACAGATTTTGAAAATTACCCTTTGAACTCATGCAGGCTTTCTGAAAAAGCCTGTGTAGTCCACCAAAAGATGTCTAATATTCTCCAACATAAAATTTCCAAAAGAAAATGAGAGAGGAACTTTCAAAAAGTAATCAGTTTTTCATAGGTCGAAGTGCTCATGGTTTAATGAGAAAAATCAAAGTTAAATTTATTAGATAGAGGTTTAGATTTTTCTACAGTACTTTTATAATAAAGGCTTATTGATCTTGCTTATTGAACTATAAGTTAAAACACAGTGATAAATGTATTTTAATCATTAATAGTATGGATTTTATATCACCCAAATAAAGAGCATCTAACTTCTAAAATGGGTGGCATGGAAAAGGAAAGTTGCGCAGGAAGGAAAAACAATCGAATGTACTTTGTTAATAATATAAGTACCCTTTCTAGTGAAAATGCAAACTTAAGAATGCACTTGTGACTGTCCTGACAGCAGTGTTGTCCTCTCAGCTTCCACAGATGACAGTGCAGCCGAGAAGAAAGGGGGGACCCTGCATGCTGGCCTCATTGTCGGAATTCTCATCCTGGTCCTCATTGTAGCAGCAGCCATTCTTGTGACAGTCTACATGTATCACCATCCAACATCAGCAGCCAGCATCTTCTTTATCGAGGTAAGTTTCAGGTATTACCCATAAAGGCCATGCTTGCTGACAAACTCTCCATTTGCTAACATCACCTGCATTTTAATATTTAGCACATTACTTCATTTTGTGTTTGGGAGCTGGCTTATTTCTCTCTCTGTCTCTCTCTCTCTCTCTCTCTCTTTCTCTCTCTCTCTCACACACACACACACACACACACACACACGCACCGACACATACACACACACACTGATAGATTGCTTTCATATGATGAGTTCAGTTACTTCATCTCAGGAACTTTTAAAAAATAACCCATCTTGCCTTAAAGATCTAAAGGAAAATAGAAACCATACTTTTTTGTCCCATTACATCAAATATGTTAACCAGCTGTTCTCCTGATTCTAGGAGGAAATGCAGCATATGCTGGAGGCTAAAGAACATTTCTTAAATCAATTAATCAATAAATACTAATTAAGTACTGGTTGGGATGCGTGATACTCTATGGCAGGAATGCTCTCAAAATGCTCAAAACTACATAGGAAAAATAATAGTTTTCACTGTAAAATAGTAGATACAACAATAAGATAATGGTGTGGGCCATCACCACTATGTGTAATGTGTGTATATTTATACGTTTATATATAAATGCGCACATGCGCACACACACACACACACTCTCTCATACAAACACAAGGAAAGCACCATGCCTGATCAGTGTTGTGTTTTCATATATGGAATATAAATTCAGGCCCAGTGGCCCAGTGCAGTCAGGTGAAGGCCCAGAGTCTGTGTATAAAGGGCCAGAGCCAAACCCTGATGACCGGAGGCCTGGAACTGGGAAGCCTGACAGCCTGACAGGATAAAATCGGTGTGACCAAGTCGCCTCCTATCCTGCAGACGGTGTGGCTTCTGGCCGCCCCGTTTGTGCAGCTTTCTTTCCAACATCTTAATGGGGTCCCTGCTCGTCCAACATCAAATAAATACTGGAGAGCCATAAAGGAAATCCTTTCCCTTCAGAGTTTCAAACATGTAAATTTTAAATATCTTCCAGTTCATTGGTTGGTACACACAAAGGGTGCTTAGAATTTTATTTGCCTGTTGAGTAAGAAATTATACTGCCTTTTAGGTTATAAAGTTAAAATTACCTTTGTCACCTTTAAAAAGGAGGGTGATGAAAATCAATTAAATAATTGCTTAGAAGCCCTATATTGCCTCTCTGTTGTCTGTTGACTCAAGTTCAGCTTCTTTAGGTCAGCGTTCAAGGCCTTGGCAAACTGGATTTGTCTGTCCGTTCGGTCTTTATCCCATGGCTCCCAAACTCGAAGTTGGCATTGCCATCAAATTTCACTCTTTGTCCTTCTCCATGCATACCCCAAACTCTTCATGCCACCAAGGCATTGTTTATTCTGTCTCCTCCACCAAGAAAGCCCCCCACTTCCACCTCAGTTTTTTAGTTCAAGATCCAAACAGCCTTTAATGCCGTCTACCTTGTAAGCTTCCCTGGACCATCTCTCTTTCTGGACAGCTGAACATAACCTCTCTTTCTCCTCTGAAATTCTATCCATTGTAACATAGTTATATCTTTCTCCTGCATTTCTGTTCTGCATTAGAGTTAAATATATACATGATTTATTGTATCCTACCGACTTCAGGTTTGATAGAATTTGGAGTAAATAACTTAAGTTTCTTTCAAATAAGAGATACCCCATCAATATTCCCTGGGGGAAAAAAAGATAATAAATATACTAAGACATTTCAAAGTTCCACTAAAATTTCACATATGACATATTCCAGAAATGGAATCTTATTTAAAATCCTATGAATGGAGACATTATCAAGAGTTTCACTAGTTGGAAAGCTGTTAAGTTTTGTTAATGTGCTGGATTTCCACAGAAGAAACCAGAGAGCTAACCCGAGGTCACAAATGCATGCCTCAAAGAGCTGACAAGTGACAAGCTGTAAGCTTCAGCAACTAACCAGGCAACAGGCTGCTGCTGTCACCCCTCACATGTTTAAGCCTTTAATACACTGTGCAGTTTATTTTCTGACATCGTGAGAAAGAAGATACTGTGAAATATCTGATGGTGATGGTATTAGTGGAAAATTGCAGAGTGCAAAAGACCTACTTCACACCAGTCCACAGCAATCCCTGTATGAATACAAAGGGAGACTGCAGAATGGTGAAAGTATTTTTTTTTTCTGGCCTTTGCCTCTTTTAATTGGCCTTATTGTTTTATAATCAGAGCCTATATGTCCCTATGTTTGTGTGAATGTTTGTGGATACATGTATTTACAGAATACATGTATTTACAGAGCTATAAGGAATCCTTTTTTTGCATTATGAAAGCAATAGCTTTTCATTATAGAAAATTTGCAGAATTGTAAAAGGAAGAAACAGGGATCATTTACCATCCCAACATGCAGAAACAGTCACTCTTTCTATTTTAATTTATTTTCTTCAGGAATTTTTATGGGCATTATTTGATGTTTGCCCATTTAACACAATTGTGATTTCACCAAATTGCAAAATGACATTTTTTTTAATCAAATAACTTTTTCTATTATACCAACTCTTTGTAAAATGATATCATCTTAATGACTGTATACGATTTCATCAACATTCACTCAGTAGCTTTTTATTGATTGCCTTTTATGCTAAATGACAATTCAGAAAGCACTAGGGGCTTAACATTGCCCATAAGTCAAAAAGAACATCATTTCAAACCATTTAAGACTGTGTGTTAGTTTCCTATTGCTGCTATAACAAATTACCAAAAACCGAGTAGCTTAGAGCAGCACACAACTGTTGTCTTACAGCACTGGAAGTCAGATGCCTAAAGTTATTCTCACTGGGCCAAAGTCAAGTTGTCAGCAAGGCTGGTTTCTTCTAGAGGCCTCAGGCTTCAGCTGCCACTTTCCCTGCTAGAGGCTGCATGCATTCCTTGGCTCCTGGCCCCTTCTATGCATCATTCCAACCTCCGCTTCTGTCATCATATTTTTTACAACTAACTCCGAACCCTTACCATCTTCTTGTAAAGCCCCTTGTGATTATGTTGGGCACACATGGATAATCCAGGATAATCTTCTGAACCCCAGTTCTTTAATCTAAACACATCTACAAAGTTTGTTTTGCCTTAGAAGGTGCCACTGACTTTTTTTGGCAATTAGGTCAAGGACGTTTTGGGGGAGCCATTATTTTGCCTGCAAAAGACTGCATCAAATGCAATATGCATCACACACCACCCATTAATCTATGACATACTTTTGACCATAAGAAACATCCCAATTTCAGTGATATTAAAACATAACCCAATGTGTATCTTCTGTATGTCACAATGAAATCCAGATTGCATTGACCACTTGCAGGAATTAGTTCCTGTGCTAGATACTGTGTATACTGTGAGAGAACTTATTGATTTTACCTTCCCAGCAGGGGTGTCCAACCTTTTGGCATCTCTGGGCCACACTGGAAGAAGAAGAGTTGCCTTGGGCCACACATTAAGTACACAAACACTAACAAAAGCTGATGAGCAAAAAAAAAAAAGGTTTTCAGTAAATTTACAGTTTTGTGTTGGTCCATATTCATAGCCATCCTGGGCCGCATGTGGCCCACTAGCCATATACCCCTGTTAGTGGATATAGCAGAGTTAATGCAACCAATCTAATACAGTGGAGCATTGGGGCTCTTCTCATTTTTTGCTATTATAATTATCCATATTATGAACATAATAATGGTTAACAGTGAACATTTATTAAATTCACTAGTGGAAGTGATTCGTGCTTATTACCTCATTTAAGCTTCATGAAGGCTTTATAAGGCAGTAAGATTATCTCCCTGTCATAAATGAGGAAACTAAGGTACAGAATTTAAGTACGTTGCTCAACATCAGGCAGCTAGTCAGGGGTGGAGTCAATATTTGAGCCAAGGCTCTCCAGAGACCACATCCTGAACCACTAAGCAATTCCACTTCACTGTGTGTAGAAATATAGGAAGATGTGTATCTATGGACATACATTGTATGCTTAGAATAGATTACTGAAAATAGAATCAAAAGAAAGAAAGAAAGAATTTAAAAGTACTTAATTAATATTGCCAAAATTGTTGCCCAATAATGTCTACCAATTTACATAGCTACTGTTATTGTTTGTTTATAATGCTGATAAAGACAGTAGCTGTTATTTATGTTTTATTCTTGCAGAAAATATACACTAATTATATATTTTGTGGATATGAACACTCTTCCTCATCTAAAGTGTTCACATGGTATTTAGCTTTTAAACTTGTTTATAGGAAGGAAATGGGATAAAGTGTGAATTAAAATCTAACCTAGAAATATATTCTTATGTGGAGTTCTAAGTAAATGTGACTAAATACAATTAAATGAATGAAATGAAGAGAAAAGTAGATGAGAATGAGGAGGCCTTGATAATAAAACAAATCATCTCCCCATATATTGTATAGTTAAACAATAATTGAATTAACTATTTACATTCCATGCATTCATATACAGGATCGGTAACAAGGATTCCATTTTCCTAAGACATTCAGTAGTATATTTTTCATGAACTTATCTTCTGTGTTCCTCCTTCATCCTCTTCAGATCTTACACTGAGCATTTTCTTTCACTTTTCAATACTAAATGGCTTTCATGTTATGTTTACCTGTCTGCCTTTTCTCAGTAAATTTTTAAAAAGATATTTTATTTTGACCAAAATCATCATTATGCAAGAGTGACTAACATGCTTTAAAGTCTTTTTAAAAATTGTTTATTATTTTGAAACAAAGAGAAAACAGTCAAATAAGCGTGTGTCCCTTAATTTTTAATAGATTTTGATGGCACTACTAAGTCTTTAATTTTTTGTAAGAATTTAATATGCCTTATGTTCTACATTATATTTGCTGAATATTTCTAAGCATAAATTCTGTGGTTTTTAATATATTTTAGCGTTGCATGAATATGGATTACAGATGTAAACGTTTTTACTGTTGCGTACTATCACATAACACTAAGATTTTCAAATAAAATCTA